AAAAAGACTAACTTCATAGCCAGCTCATCGGAGCTCAATGACCCAATGAAAAGTGCATGACCTAGATTGTGTTTGTCCGTAAGCAACTCTGATTTCATTGATGAGATGTAAGCCTGTTTTGCTCGGAAATTAGGAGAGCTCTCTCGTGGACGGTGCCAGCATGAAGGTCATAGTAAAGCCAAACACGGCTGCAGAACAATACGAATTGACAGTCGTTTACTCTTTTCGTCAGACACATGGAAACCCATTTTTTTCTCGCATAAAATAAGTCTCATCTTCTGTTTGAAGGTAGAGTCTCGAGACTACCAGTAAATCTGATATAGGAAATTTGTTTACTTTATTTCGTTGGTGGTGACAAGAGGAGTGGTTGTTGAATCTTCTCACAATCAGATGAGTAGACCTAACGGTTCCATCAAATTTCATGTTGCCTTCCTTTCGCAACATTTTTTTCTCATCCAGTCAAAAGTGGACAGCAGATTCGACCTCTCTTCAATTGGTCTCATCAACTTCCCCAGCGGGACTCGAACAATGACAGTCCCGCGTATAATCTCTACATGTCCACCACCATGTCACCACCATGCCACCCGCGAATTTCTATGAAGGCCAGATATTTTCCCACATCATATTCCTTAGTGTGATTGTCGAAGAAGCAAAGTTGTGTTTGCTATAGCAACAGACTACCTAATTTATATTTCTTAATGCGTAGGGGTGTAGATAAGGCCTAGGCAAGGCAGAAAGTGCATCGCACTCTGGCCGTGAGGAGAATACATTTTTGGAAAGGCTAGGCTGTGTGAAATTAAATGGAAGCGTATGATTTTGGGAAAATTCATCTGGCAGTCCCCTGAACGAACTATGCTCAACACATCTCATCTAAAGACGTATCTGTTCAGCCTGGCTGTGGCAGAGGACCAATTGGTACTGTCGTCCACACGACCGTCTCCGACCCCAGCCAGGACTTGCGCTTCGACTGGGACTCGTCTCCTCGTCAGCCGCCAGACCGGGGGTGTGCTTAAAAAGGTCGATTTGTGTGCTCCATTTGGTGCAGACCGAGCCTCTGCCCTCAAACTCCGGTGGCGCGAGCGGACTAGCCTCGTGTGCGGTAGAGACTGATGAGTCACACACACACGCACGCACACACCATCTTCATGTTCTTCCGACCTGCATGAGTTGCATTGTCCTGAAGCCTCCGGAGCCGAGAGTGGCATCCTCGAATGCCATTTCAACGCTTTGGTGCAGCACAAAAGCGAATACCGACGGCCCTCCCGCAGGCTCGGTCGTGTTGCCATAGCGGCATATGCGAGCCCAGTCCAAACCGGATTTGCCAGTTGCTACCATCGGACCGTGGACTTGGTACATCCACTCACGTCTCACCGGCCTTTCGATCCTGTTGCCATCGCCAATGCGAGAGTTACAACCTGCCCAAAGTTCAAGTGGCTTACTCCCGCTTCAGCTGTTCCGACGTCTCTTTTGCCCCTCCCTCTTGTCCCTCTTCCTCAAGCCCACTTGCCCCATTCACACCTTTTTGCGTTTATCCGCTTGCCCCAATGTCGCCGAAGCGTGTGCCAGTGTGTCGAAGGGGGAAGGGGGGGGGGTAGGGGGCGTACTCGCCTGCACCACCGGTTGCACACGCTGTTCACATGTTGCTTGTACAAGCGGAACTCACTTGTTCCCTCTACTCGAGAGTCCATTTTAGTCAGCTTTGGAGGCCTGAGTGATGCGATTGTGCGTGAAAGCTTGACTGTCAAGGAAAAGTTTATACGAAGAAAGGTTGGGTTTCGAGCAATCTCTTGTTTCATAATTGTTGAGCTTACTTCCATTTCAAGTGGAAGTATTGGGTGAAGAGATGCGAAGGCATATATTCCACTTTTTAGGGATTTGCCAGTTAGTTTTCTTGACTCTTTAGCTTGAATTTTGTTGAACCGATGTTACCTCGCTCTGAGGATGTCCATCGTATGACGCACGAAAGCTTAGCACCTTTTCACCGGAATCGAGTGAGATTGCCTCGGAAACAGCGTCGGCATGAATGCTCCAGTAAAGCCAATCGACAGCTGGTCAACAGGAATTCGCCGTCGTCTTCTGGTGCAACCGACCTTCGAATCTCTTCACCCAACACTCACTCGAAATGGAAGTAAGATCAACAAGGAAAAGTTTCACAATTGTTTAGTTTGCTTGCATTTTTTTAATGAGAGTGAAGACACTCAAAGCGTCGATTTGCTCTACTGTTGCATTCTTGTTGGCGCTGTTGCCGAGGCAATCTCCTTCGAATCCAGCGAAAACGTGCTACATTTTTGGCCGTCGCACTCAGCCGAGCATCATCGGTACAGCCAGTTTTGGGCTAACGAGTCCAGAAAACGCATCGTTTGCCCAAATGTGGCGGGACACGCTTTCACTCGAAATTAAAGTGAGCTCAACCAGTGCATTCGAATGGCACCGAAAGTGTCAAGACGTACTTTTATCCAAGTCCATGCAAACCGAGTCGATCCGATTAATCTGACCGTCTGCTTACATTCGTTTGTCTTGCCCCTCGCTCGTCCTCTGTTTGCAGAAGGTGAAGGCCTTCCTCGACGAGTTCGCCTTGAAGTTGACCCGAGCCACGGACATCCGAGAGCACCGGATCGACAGCGTGATCCTGCAAATCGCCAAATCGCGCCTCATCGAACTGCCTCCAGCGCCGCAGGAGCAGACGACCGGTCGTCCGTTGACTGGGCTCGGCCTGCGAGTGGGAGAGGCAGGCAAAGGTGAGTTCTGGTTCGGCCTGCGGCCGGCGCTGATTGGTCAGCCTTGTCGGCTCAGCTCAACTATGCGCCGTCATATCGATTTTGCCCCACTATCGTCTGAGGCATTTGGCCACCGTCTGAGGCACCGCCATGGGCAGACGGCGCATCGATTCCGCCCGACGCTCTCATCTGGCTTGAGCGAATTTGAAATTTGCCCCTTATCGATCCGCACTTGAGCTACTTGAGCCGACGCCGTCAAGTGGACGCGCGTGCGCGTGCGCGTGCGCATGCGTCATGCATTCGAGGTCCGGTCGCTTCGGCGGGAGGCAAAACAAAGGACGCCTTTTCAAAGGGCCCGAGTGCAGTGTCCATTTCGAGCCAGCTCTTGCAACTGTGCAGCGGCATTCTGGACGAGTGAGGCGACCTCGAACAGGCTCATCACACTCACTTTGAGTGTGTCATCTGCCCCTTTTATTTGACATACCAACGCTGACTACTGCCCTTCCATCAGTCGCCCAAGACACCTTTGTTGGGAAGACTGCAATTTCGCAGGCGAGTGTGTCTGATGAAAAGGTTTGCCGATCGATCTCACAAAACGACAGACAGCTCTGATTCTGTCCGTCAGCCTGTTTCCATGTCAAATGGGGGCGGATGCTTCGTCAACCGGAAGGTCGTGTCAACGCCAAACAGGGCGGCAGTACAACGCGAATCGACCGTCGTCTGTTTTTTGATGAAATCGATCCGCCAATCTCTTCATCAGACACACTCTCGTGCCAATCTGCAGTCTCCCCAAACAATGTCGTTTATTTCAGTTGCATGCTATTCTATTTTGCGTTGCCCTCTTGTTTGCCATCATCTGCAGACATGGTCGTCTGGACGTCCGAGCAGACTGAGAAGCGAACCAACATCAACGACGTTGGTGGCACTTTTGGCGAGAACGACGGTGACTTTATCTGCTATCATGAGGTGGGCATGCGAAAGCTATGATCACATGTACACATATACACGCCATGTTTATTAGTTAATTTTTATTTATTTATTTATTTATTGTATATATATATATATATATATTCCTGTTTATGCATTAATTCATATAAATAAAGTATCGCAAGTAGCTTGGGCGTGATTCGAGGTGGAGCGGCAAGAGTGGGACGAGTGAAATGGCATCGTGATGACTTTACTCCACTCGGTTTGACGAATTCCTTCGCCCCGCCTTGCCTCAACTGAACTGACCAAGCATGACTCGAGTTTCAATTCCAGATCTACCGAAAAGCGCCAACTACGCCCATTTGGCGTGCTCTCTTTTTGTCGGTCGCCAGCGCTCGAGTCATGATCGTGCATGGGCCAGTCAAGGGTGGTCAACTACCAACACCTGTTGGCCCGACTGTTAGCATTTCTCGAGGCACCGAGTCGCGTTGTGCCAACTCAAAGCCAGGCCTCGTGCACGCCGCGTTCTTGTGGTGGCACTTTGAGAGGGAAGTGTGTCGAAACAGAAGATGTAATGAGTTGTATTCACCCTATTTCGTGTAAGGTAATGAAGTACTGGTAGTAGAATTTTCCCAGTCCTTCATCACCTTACACGAAATTGGGTGAATACATGTCATACTACTGATTTACTGGTAGTCTAGAAACCCTACTCTAACACGAAAACAGAAGATGGCCGAGGCGCAACGTGTGATCCGCTTCGTTTTAGTGGGAAACGTCAAAACAGATCAGAAGTGGGCTGGAGCGCAACCGGATACCCGTTCTGGCGTGACGAGTGTCTTCGCCAACCGGCGTCTGCTGGTCTGACGATGGTCTGCAACAGCGGACACACCGTCACACAGACACGCACAAACGTCCGGCGGCATTTCTCCTCTTCCATTCAAGAGTCCTCGTATCCACGCCACGTGGTAGACACCATGTCGCTTGCCCTTGCGGAAGTCTGCCTCAACGGGAGTCCATTTGTACCGGCTCGTGCAGCGGCGCTCAGCCTCACACACCCTCGCAACCGTTTCGCA